TATCTACCCTCTGCCTAAGCAACTCCACCCAGTCGGGAAGCTCAGCCTCGTCGCCAAACACGGTACGCCAGGCGTCGCTCAGACGAGCGAAGCAGCGGGACGGTGTATGACTACGTGTCCCACAAGGCTGACCAGTCCGAGTACCAGTGCGAATCACGTAAGAGCAGCGAACAGCACTGAGAGACCCTCCACTCTGAGCGTACCACTCACGAAGCTGGCGAGGCGTGAGAGACACGCGAGAGGGTCGCGGGAGCTGCATCTGGCCGCCACCACGAGTAGAAGCAGCAGGAGTGGAAGTAGGAGTAGCGTCGCCACCCCTACAGCCCCAACCAGCGTACCACTCACGCAGCTGCTGGGGCGTGAGGGACTCACGCAGGCGTCGCTGGGGCTGCATCTGGCTCCGCAAGTAGAAGCAGGAGCAGGACTAGCAGCAGGAAGGCAGGCAGCCAGGCAAGCCAAAAGGCAGGCAGGCAGGCAAGCAGGCGACGCGCAGCGTGCTAGCAGGGCAAGAGCTCACCAGTGGTGGGAAGAGTAGGCTCGGCGACTCAGTGGCTCGGCAGCTCGGCGGCTCGGCGGCTCGGGCGACTCGGGCGGCTGGGCGGCAGGGCGGCTCGGCAGCAACAGCAGCTCAGCAGCTCAGCGACTCGGCGGCTCGGCGGCAGGGCGGCTCGGCTGCTGGGCGGCTCGGGTGCAGGGCGGCTCGGCGGCTGTAGGTGAGCGATGAAGGAGGAGGAGAAGCAGGGGAGGCCACGCACCTGCCACCCCTCCGCAAGCGGCCCCCTCAGGTCGCCTCGACAGGCGACGGGAAAAGGGGGGTTGGGTGGTGTTGGCCGGTAGGTGCAGCGGCGGGGCCAGCAGGTGCAGTTGCGGGGCCGGTAGAAGGTGACGGCAGGAGCCGTCAGGAGGCGACCGGGCCGCGACGGGGGCAGGCGGCGGGGCCGCGTAAGGGCCTGGGCGGGGCCGCGACAGAGCCGTCGACGGGGCCGCGTGAAAGCCGGGGCGGGGCCGCGTAGAAGCCGGGGCGGGGCCGCGCGAGAGCAGGCGGCGGGGCCGCGAAGGAGCCGGGGCGGGGCCGCGTGAGAGCAGTTGGCGGGGCCGCGTAAGGGCCTGGGCGGGGCCGCGACAAAGTCGTCGGCGGGGCCGCGTGAAAGCCGGGGCGGGGCCGCGTAGAAGCCGGGGCGGGGCCGCGCGAGAGCAGGCGGCGGGGCCGCGAAGGAGCCGGGGCGGGGCCGCGTGAGAGCAGGCGGCGGGGCCGCGTAAAGGCCGGGGCGGGGCCGCGACAGAGCCTGCTGCGGGGCCGCGTGAGAGCCGGCGACGGGGCCGCGTAAGGGCCGGCGGCGGGGCCCCGTCAGAGAGGGCGGCGGGGCCGCGTCAGTGAAAGCGGCGGGGCCGCAGGGAAAATGACGACCCGAGGGGTCGCTAAAAAAAAATCGCGCCTCGGGGGGCGCTTCGGTGGGCCCAAAAAAACGGTCCGTAGAAGGACCCGCTCTATACCATGTCAGAATCAGCGAACAAGAATGAATGAACTAGCAGTGAAATGAGTACAAGTAGGAAACCCTAGAATTGTGTACCCCCTATAGGCTAACCCACTGTAGCCTACACAAGCAGAACACATATAATGTTTGACAGTCCTTACGCTTCACCGCCTCGTCTTCCTCCTCCGACTCCGACTCCGACTCCGACGACGACGACGACGACGACTTCTCCGTTTCCGACCTTCTTGCACCTGCCTCTGCGTCGTCTCCTCCACCGTTTCCACCTTCCCCATGCACCCTCGCGTTCCCATGATGCTGGGCGGCAACTGCACCTTGGGGCGCCTTCTGTCCTTCCGCGACGTCGTCATCTATGGCATTGTCGGCGGGTCCGGCGGCTAGAGAAGTTGGCGTCGCGGTGCGTTTTACGGCAATGACCTTGCCGACGTACTCAACCATGCTGTCGCGCAAAGCCTTCAGCCCCTTCATCTCGATGCTCTCGATGCTCACCCCACGACGACCCTTCTCGCCTGTCAGATGGTCGATCTGTTTTGCTACCCACCCGAACGACGTCGCGGAAAGCACGCCGGCACCGACATGCCCGTCCGACACTGTGCCCGGCACTTTCTGCATACAAGCACGGAACATGATGAGCGGAGCGTTCAGAAACGGGCACCCCCCCCTTGCGACTTGAACGTGCAACTCACATCGCGGATAGGGTGGTCGCAGTCGGCCAGCCTGACCTCCACCACTGCTTGTGATGGCGGCGCCCAGTCCCACATCCTACCGGGACGCCCCAGCTCGGCCAGGACAGCCGTGCGGAAGAACCTGAAGCACCGCGGTGGGGGGAGGCGGTCAGCGTGTGATACCCTGTGTCGCCGACTAACAAGCGGGTCATCGACGACAATTCAGCACTTACTTTAGCACGCGGGCGGCCTCGTCGCGGTGATACCCTTTACCGGTCTGCGGGTCGATGTGCCGGATTGAGGTCCTGCACACCTGTCCCTCAGCCTTCAACAGATCTCCAGGGTATAGGATGGCAATGACGCTGCAGTGCGTTCCTGGAAGCGCACCGAGGCTGCACATGCAATTCACGACGACGTCGATCACATCACCACGCGATGTCGCGACACTAAACAACGATAACTGATCAAAGGTGAAACAGCTCACATTGTTCTTAACGGGATAGCGGCGATGTCGGCGTCGAAAACCGCAGCAAAGCATGAATGGTCGGCCAGCCGCATGGCCGATCGAAGCGTGCCGACGTCGAGAACCCACAAACGCTGGTTCTCGATCCCAAGTCGGGACCACGCGAACCTGACGGCACGATTGGGCAAGGAGGTTCATACAAGGGCGGTTGAGCAAACGCCGAAAAGTACAGAGGGCGACTACGTGTGGTCGACGATTCCTAAGGTGGCCGGCGTTCCTGGAGGGGGTCTATGCCTAATACCGCGCACGTCGACGTAAATCAGAAGGCCACTGCGTCGACACCCAACCTAGTTAAGTCGGCGCCGACTACTCGAGTCGTACCTGATGCCGAAATCCAAACATCCGTCGTTGAACTCTATCTTGTGGTTGCGAAGAACTAAGAAGTCTTCCCACTCTAAAGTGAAGCTGAGACCAGGACCCATTTGGTGACGAAGAGGGAAGTCAGCCGAAGTCGGCGCCGAGTTATCGGGGTCAGGGCTAGGGTCCATACCGACTAAGGGGAAGCGATATCACGATAGCCGCACAGAGCAACGAAAGGAGGAAAAAAGGAAAAGGAGGAGCGAAACGAGATGCGGAAAATGGGGAGCGAGGCCACCATCCACAAAGAAAAGGAGACGGTGGCCCACCGCATCCCCGTTCAGCGTCGCCCAAGGGTGTGGGGCCTGGCTCGGCAGGGCTCTGAGGGCGCATGCGCAAGTGGAACAGGTGGTCCGACTCCGCTTCGGCAGGGCGTCGACCTCGCGTCCATTGTCCCTGGTCGGCGAGGGGACGCAATATCGCGTGCGCGATGAGCGTGCATTCGCACAACACGTGTCGACTTCGTAGTGGGTAACGAACCTCGTTGTCCGCGTCGCGGCCTTTTTTTTTTCGCTTGCAACGACAAAAATATCGCATGCGCCCGATGCGAAACCACGAGCGAACACGTGGCGTCACCGCAACGGGTCGCAAAATTGTCGAGCGTCCCGAGGGGGCCCCGACTTTTCGCCCGGCCCTCGCCTGCCCGTCCGGGCAGGCCGCGATGGGTTACTAGGACCTCGCGGGCAGGTGGCGCGTGTGGGCTGCCTTCGCGCGAGGGTAATTTTCCCACGCGCGAGGTGTCGCCAGTTCGCCGACCCCACCCGGTAACGTGGGCCGCTGTTCACATTCGGGGCGGGGCCGCGGGGCGGCGGTCGTGCGCTCGGCCCAGCCTTGGGCCAGGCTGGCGGGCCCGCACGCGCGTCAGTGCTCCGCCCCGTCAGCCCAGGCTTCGACGACCCCCCTCGACGACACTGGCAATTCGGCTCCGTCGACCGAATTCCGCTGGGGTGTTCGGTGCGGTTACTCGGTCTGATCTGGACTGTAACCGAACCCAATCTTCGCTAGGTAGCGCGAAACACTCCTCAAGATGCGCGGAATGTCCTCCAGTCCAGATCAGACAGGTGGGGTGGGGTGGGGGAGGGGGGAGCTTGGAAAGGCGGAATCGCGTCGGGAAAGGGTTTGATCTGGTCAGATCCTCCCGAGTCGCCCTCTGTAGATCGAGAAAGGGGGGAGGGCGGAGGGGAAGCTTGAAAAAGCCGGAGGGCGCGACGGGAATTAGTGGGTAGGGGGCCCATCGGAACGTCGCCACTGGCCTTTGGGTCGCTCAAAAGTCACCTAATCGACAATAGGGAGTGGTGAGGCGATGTGAGAGTCAAATGTTGCAGACAAGGCGATTCTGTAAAACTCGATGGTGCATAGGTATTTCAAAACGGTACTGATTGGTTATTTTGACTTCTCCTCACCTTCTCACACACCCTTCCAGTTGAAGATAGGATTTGTGTGGAGGAGACAGCGGTGCAGATAAAGTCAAGACGATAACTCGAACGGGGACGTTCTTGCTTTCAAAGTTCAAAGCCATCCCTCACTTGTCCCCCCCTTCCCCCTTCCCCCCCACCATCTCCCCCCCCCCCCCCCCCCCCTCCCCCCCAACTAGTAGCGACGCGCCCACCGATCCTCCTCATCCTTCACCTTGTCCCCCTTCCCTAAGTTACCAGACCAGCCACGTCACGACGATTCGCTCCACACTCTTTCTCTCACTCTCTTCCTCCCAGTCGCAGCGCTAGCGGCTCGCGTGGCGGTAGCCGCCTGCTAAGCGGTGTGTGCGTGGTGGCGATTTTGCTGCTTACCGGTTTCTCGACCGCTATTGTACCACTACACAGAAATTGAAGGCCCAGAAACCCGACGATTTTTTGGTGACGTGGCGTGCTCCGTTCCAGTTTGCTGCCTTATCATGCCTCCGCCCATCTCGACCTCCAATGGTCGTCGAGCAAAAAGGTGTGGCGGCTCGCGTCGCGTCGCGCAATGTTCGGGCGTTTTCCCTATCCTTCCATTCCTGGCTGCTTCGGCAACTATCTAGTCTTTATCCCTAGTGTAACGTTAGTAACGTGTAGGGTGTGTGTGTGTGTGTGTGAACCCTGTCTGTCACTTGAGCTCATGCCGAACCTAGAGCACACGTGCGGTGTTCTCCGCACCACTTTGTTGACCGTGCGTCTTGTCTTGCCGCCTCGCCCTGGGCTAGTACTAGGTTCCCTTTTATCTTGCGACTGTCCTTGTCACTTTATTCAGTCCGCAATTCGCCATTTCTGCAGTGGCGCAAACCTTTTCTTGTCCAACCGCGTTCTGCTTCTCGTCAAGAATTGCCTCATCCAGTCGCCAAAATTACTTCAGCTTTCAAGCCTCATCTGCCTGACGACTCGTCAAACATCCGGAAGCCTTTCTTTACGCCCCTTCCGTCCTTTCCGCGATTTCGCTACCTACATTTCACCCTCATGGCGGCGCTGTCAGGGTCGTTCCCTACCAGCCAGTGCCAATGGATGAAAGACTTGACTGATTCCGTCTTCTTTCACGTTGACGGTGTCGGGCGTTCCACACAACTACTGGAGAATATGCTGGCCGAGCAGCATGATTCCGCGTGCCAGGATTCCGAGAGGTAAGTGTGGTTTCGCACAATTCACAATCTGCAGCGGCGACATATCAGGCCATTAAAGCGCCTTTTGCAGTGTCGTTTCGTCTCTCTTCGCCATGGTTGCCGGCGTTGCTAGTAGGCCCGTCCTCGCTTCTCACGTCTCCTCCCATTTCCCCTTTCCCCCTCCTCGGTTTCCACGGGCTCCTCATGTTTTCCCTTCCCCCTTCACCCTTCCCCCGTGTCAGGGCGTCCAGTCGGGCCAATGAGAGCAGTGCGGCGGACAGGGCGTCCAGTCGGGCCAATGATAGCAGTGCGGCGGACAAGCAGCCGTCGCATGGCAGGGACCCCGGGTCGTGGCACGGCAGTCGCAGGGACCAAGTGCACTACACCGGCGGCGCTGCCTCCCATAAAAGGCAAGGCATTTGGCGCCTCTATACTTTCCTTGGCGTCTTTACCCGCGACCGCATTGGTCCTGAAAGCAACTCTGCCCTTCGTCTCGTTCCATCTCCTCGTTATTGGCCAATCGTTCATTTCTTCCAATGCTTTTGGCGTTCCCCATCTCACAACCTCCCCTCTCCTGGCGGCTTCCCCCTTCTCACGTCTCTCCCGACGTCCCCCGCGTGTGAGGCCAGGCAGCGAGAGGAGCCGAGCGAGTCAAACAGCAACAAGGCCAATCAGGAGAAGATGCGCTGCGACCGACTCAACGACAGGTGCGACGCTGCTGCTGTCTGCTGGGTGCTCTCCATACTCCATCATCACTCGCTTTCGTCCTGCTGTGTGGTCTCGAAGATTCCTCGTTTTTCTCGAGGAATGCAGCCGCATTCTTTCGCAGCGCCTATTTTTTGGGCACATTATCAACTTCCCCCTCAGTTCTGTCCTTCCCTCTCAATCCCTCATCCCCTTCTTAGTTACCCCCCCCCCCTCCCCCCCCCCCCCAACACCTCAGGTTCGAGGAGTTGGCGCGGGCGCTGGAGAGGAGCGAGCTGGCGCGCGCGGACAGGGGGAGCATTCTGGTGGACGCCGTGCGCGTGCTGGCGCAGCTGAGGGCGGAGACGAGCCGGCTGAGGGGCTCCGCGGAGCACATGAGCGAGCAGATCCAAGAGCTCAAGGCGGAGAAGAGTGAGCTGAGGGAGGAGAGGGCGCGCCTGCTGGCCAACAAGCAGCAGCTGGAAGACGAGGTCCGCCGCTTGGCCGCATCTGGTGCCGCCCAATCCACGGCCGCCACTTCAGCAGCAGTATCGATGGTTTCTTCAGCCGCCCGGCAGGCAGCTGCTGTTTCTCCTCCTCTTGGGTTTGCGCCTTGTGCTCCGGGCTCTCCGGGTTCGCCTGGTGCTGTGCCCGTGATGCTGCATCTGGTGTGTGAGCCGGGCAAGCTGGGCCCAATGGGAGCACCCATGGGCTTGATGCCCATTCCGTTCATGCCTGGGGGGATGCTTCATCCTCTCCCTCATCTCCACTCGCACCCTCACCGACCCCAGCCTCGTACTATGCAAGACAGGAATGGTACATGTCACGTGCCAAAACATCCTGCTCCTGCTGGCGGTGGTGGTGGTTCTGCCGGTTCAGCTGCTGGTTCTGCTGGTGGTGGTGGTGGTGTTTCAACTGGTGGTGATGGTGGTTCAACTGGTGGGGATGGTGGTTCAACTGGTGCTACTACTGCTGCTGCTGGTATTGGTGTTTCAGCTGGTTCATCTGTTGCTTCTGGTGCTGCTGCTACTGTGCCTGCTGGTGGTGGCTCAGCTGGTTCAGCTGGTGCTGCTGCTGCAGCTACACCCGGTCCGCAGTACCTGCATGTGCCTGCCATGCAGGCCTCTCGTTATCAGGGTAAAATACCCTTTTTGCACTGACTGGCGGCCGCTTTTTTTCAGTTACCCTTTCACAGGCATGGTAGTGGATTTTTTACCCTAGGCCAGAAAGTGTAAGTTTTTCAATACCCTTTGAAAAACAGCATAAGGAACACATTACTCTGACTGTACAGTGTACAATCCAAGCTATACTGGTACTGAGTGCTCCGTAGCGAGACGGAACACTATACAGGTCCCTGCAAAACGATACCATCAGTGAGATTTGACCTTGCGTTATTACAGATCTAATGCGCAATCGAACTAGCTGAACTACTAGCCACTGATCTTGGATGCGTCGAGATTCAAACTAACCATAAGTTTTTAAGAATACCCTGCCCAAACAGACTAACTGTTTTTTTACCCTGCATTTGTCAGGGAAACAAAATTTTTACCCTACGCATCAGGGTTGACTATACCTAGAACCCTGATTACTAAGGGTGGCCCAAAACGAATCTGAAGCCCTGCTGCCATGCCATATGCCATGCCAGGAATGCCACCCATGCGCATGTGGCAGTGGTTATCGCAACCAGCTGTTGAGCCCTATGATCGAAAAGCTCAGGACATTGGTGGTATGAGTAATTTATTGTTTGGCCTGCCCTTTTCACACAGGAGTTATATGTGTGTTGATGTAGAGTTTTTATGGTATGTGTGTTTTCATTAGAGCGTGTTCCTACACCTCGTATCAGTCGAACCTCATATCAGGCTCTCACTCAAAATTCCCCAAAACCAAAAACCTCTCGTTAGTTTTACCTGGCGAAAAGTACATTCTTGGTACGAGGTGGCCTGATATGAGGCCGGAGGAACACGCTCTTAGCAGATGAGTGCCACGGCTAATTAATAGGGTTTCATTTGCAGTGACGAACATCAGCGACTTATAGTCAACATTCGGGAGCCTCATGGGGCCAAACCGACCAGCCAAGCAGTGTTGAGATGTAATGTGGTATATCTCCAGTGATGAAGAAAAGAAAAGAAAAGAGAAAGGGAGAAGGAAAGTGAAACCGCCAAGAAGAACCCAAATGCAACACACATAAAACCCCCCCTCAAGATACCCAATCAAAACGCCCAGTCAAGACACCCTGTCAAGACATCCCATCCCACACCCCATTTCCCCCCCCCCCCCCAATCACAACAGCGAATCCACCATGTATGGGGCCTCCACCCAGAGAGCCCCGCCTTCCGCATCGCCATCGTCCCACTCCCGGTCCACCAAGTCAACGTTAATCCCCCCCATAGAAGACGCCGCTCGAAGCAGGATGACACGGGCTTGCGCACGTTGCAACGCCACCCCGATGAGCGCCTTCAGTGACCCTAGAAGATAAGCCGAAAACACAGTGTCGTCCTCCCGACAAGCCCCCCGCGACACAGCTAGCCCCACGTGCGCATCTCCCTGCTGACGAAGCCACCTCCGAAAGCGACCGCCGAGACACCCCCACGTCTCCACTATCAGAGGAGTGAACTGCACGCCCCGGTTGCGTGCAAGCAGAGGCGCGTAATCGCTCGTTTTACGACGCTCCCATTCTCTTGCCGCCACGCCTATTTGACGCCCGCACTGTCCTAGCAAAGATGGAGACAGCGATAGCGGGTCCGCGACGCTGATCTCCAGGGCGTGAGCCTCTCCAGCCATTGGTCGTCGCACCGCCACATCAACCCGCTTCCCCTGCAGCACCACACTATCCTCCATTGTCACCACCCCCCCAGACGCCTTAGAGATCTTCGCCACCGCAAACTTCACCTCATCATGTACCCGAGATGGACCATGCTGGTGCTTGCATCTCAGGGCATGATGCGGGTCTGCTGAGTCAACATATGCTGTGCCATAAACACACCTCCCCGCCACCTGCAGCTGCTGAATTGGGAGCCCGAGCCGTATAGCAGCAGCAATGCCCCACTCCGCCGCAGTGAATGTGAGATCTGAGTGAGCCGGAACCGCCGAAACCCATGCACCAGCCCCCGGGCCCTGAAGGGATGTGAAACGGGCCAGGGTGGCATCGTCACGAGCCGAGCGACGCAGTGTCTGGAGCCAAGGGATGAATTCAGCACTTTGGGACTGTATTTTCATGGACGTACCCACAGGGTGCTCATTTTCAAGTGTGAAACGAAGCTCCTGAGCCTTTTTTTTATTAGGCCCAATCATCCCCTCCACAAAATGAAGACGAGTGGTAGTAGATGCAATAGCGAGTTGACCATTACACTTGCGATTATCAAGCTGAGCCGCCATCGATTAGGGCGGGTCAGGTAGGTTGCGTTTCAGCCATTTTCGTAAAAATAACGCATTTTGTGTCAGTTTCTCTGACTGTACCGAGCAGTGTTTTATGTTCAGTTCGAGTCAAACTAGTCATGACGTGAAGCGTGTTCTGACACAGATCAGTTCATGCACACAACCACCCCCTGCCTGAAAAATAGTTACCACATTCTCGCGAATCAATGGCGCGAACAGCACACACGCCACCCTGCATTGGCAACAGGGAGGCAAAGATTTGGCGAGCGGGCGGAAAAGGCGAAGAGAGCGAAGTCAGCTAGGCGAAAAGGTTTGTTACTCTAGCCTTTGCTGGACAAATTGTGAACTGCTGCACGTTTCTGGCATGAACCTGAAGTCGTAACCACCAAACATTCCAGGACATTTTCATCCTGAACCGACTCACTGTTCGTTTCGTGTCCGCGATAGGAAATTGCATAAAAAGTACAGTTACGCACTCAAATCGGGGATGAAAAGAAAAAATTGTGAAAACGGAACCTACCTGACCCGCCCTTACATCACTTATTTTCAGAACCCATTCTATCCGCAATATTAGCCTCGTCCATATCGCAGGCTGCTCCGTTGTCCGCTCTAAGTCCAATCATCGTGCTCTGTGAGCTTTCCACCCCGAGATTTTCTAGAGCACCGATCTTGCAAAGCTATTTCACTCTAGATAAAAAAGGCTTTTCAATTACTGCTCGCTGCTGTCGCCTCTCCTTTCTACTCGAAGCCATTTCATCGAGCGGGTTGCTTGCCACGGCTTGCCTAAGCTGCTCGATTCCTGTTGCTGCGGAAGTCCCAAGGGGGTTGCTCCAGGTACTGGCTTTCGACGCGCGACGCGGGCTGGCTGCTTTTTTTGTTCCTTTTCCCCTCGTTTCTGTTCTGATACACGAGTTACTCGGAGCAGCAGTTTTACGAGATTCTTGCTTTTGGCCATTGTGGGTCTTGCAACTTAAGAGCAGCAGCAGTTTTCTTCGAATTAGTTCTTAGAAGCAGCAGTCTGCTACGAATCAAATCTTAGAAAACGAATGGCTGGGGACGAAGGAGCGGAAGGGCGGCAGCAGGCGGAAGGCGGAACCGCGCGTAGCCACGGTCATGCCGCGGATTTGCACGCGCACGCGCATTCGCATTCGCACGACGACGACCATCACCATCCCCACCACCACCACCACCATAACCACGACCATCCTGGAACGTCAGTGATCCCTTGAATCCATTCTCGTTCTACCGTAATCGAGCGTGCCTTTATGGCCGCCAATCGTTGATGCGTGCATTCCTTTTTCTATTCCATCCCTATTTTATCATAATAGAATTTTCCGCCTCTCCCCTTTTCCTCATCTTCATGTGTGCTCATTTTTTTGGGGAACCACTTGTCCAATCCAGCGGCGACGCGTCAGCACCGGCCGACGAGTTCCGCGGCGCGGACGGGCGCGTGTACCACTCGCACGACGGGCTCGCGCCGCACTCGCACGAGCCGCTCGACAGCGCGGGGAGCTTCGCGCTGCGCGCGCCGCCCCTGCCGAACCGCGACCTGGCGGAGCGCGCGTTTACCGTTGGAATCGGCGGACCCGTCGGATCAGGGTACGCGGGGGGGGGGGGGGGGGGGGGGGGACGGGAAGGTAGGGAAACGGGCGGAGGAGAGGCGGGGGAGGGAAGGGGAAGGGGGGACAAGGGAGGAGGAGAGGAGAGAGGGAGAGAGAAGGAAAATTGAACGGGTGCATTGCGCTCAGGTTGTGTGGGGGAAGGCGGAGGGCGGAAGAGGAAGGAGGGAGCGGGGAATCTGAAGGGTGATGGGGGAAGGAGGCGTGCCGGGTGTCACCTCACCCCCTCCTTCCCCGATCCGTCTTGCCTACTTCCCCCATCCGCCCTCCTTCCCCCATCCGCCCTCCTTCCCCCATCCGCCCCCATTCCCCCATTTCCCCATCCGCCCCCATTCCCCAATTCCCCTATTTCCCCATCCGGCCCCATTTCCCAATTCCCCTATTTCCCCATCCGCCTCCATTCCCCCATTCCCCTTTTTCCCCATCCGCCCCCATTCCCCCATTCCCCGATTTCCCCATCCGCCCCCATTCCCCAATTCCCCTATTTCCCCATCCGCCCCCATTCCCCCATTCCCCTATTTCCCCATCCGCCTCCATTCCCCCATTCCCCTATTTCCCCATCCGCCCCCATTCCCCCCTTCCCCTATTTCCCCATCCGCCCCCATTCCCCCATTCCCCTATTTCCCCATCCGCCCCCATTCCCCTATTTCCCCATCCGCCCCCATTCCCCAATTCCCCTATTTCCCCATCCGCCCCCATTCCCCCATTCCCCTATTTCCCCATCCGCCTCCATTCCCCCATTCCCCTATTTCCCCATCCGCCCCCATTCCCCCATTCCCCTATTTCCCCATCCGCCCCCATTCCCCCATTCCCCTATTACCCCATTCATCCCCTTCACAGCCCATTGCTCGCTGCTGGCGCTATATCGCACCATCAGAGACCAACTGTCCCTCCCCTCCCCTCTATGCCCTCAACCATTCCCCCATTTCCCCATCCGCCCCCATTCCCCCATTCCCTCTGACGCCCATCCATCTCTTTCCCTCTACGACGTTTTCCCCCAATTTTTCTATTTCTGGTATTCCCTCTTTCTCTCGTTCCCCTTTCCCCTCTTTCCCTCATTCCCTCTTTCCCGCTTTCCTCATTCCCCTCATTCCCTCGTTCCCTCGTTCCCTCGTTCCCTCGTTCCCACTTTCCCTGTTTCCCTCACTTCCCTCATTCCCACTTTCCCCGTTTCCCTCATTTACCTCATTCCCCCTTTCCCTCATTCCCACTTTCCCCGTTTCCCACATTCACACACTCCCCCCTCACAATCTTTGGCAGCAAAACGGCTCTCGTGCTGGCTCTGTGCTGCACGCTAAAGGACAAGAAAGGCTTGGCAGCGGTTACCCGACATCTTCACTCTCACTCATCCCCCCTACACTCCCATTCCCCCTGCACTCCCATTCCCCGCCCGCCCATGCGCCCCCAATCATCTCACAGAAGGACTGCTCTCATGCTGGCGCTCTGTCACACACTAAGGGACAAATACAGCCTGGCAGTGGAAATCAACAACACATGCTCACTGTGTGTCCCCTGCACCCCCATTCCTCCACTCACCCATGTGCCCCTAACCATCCCACAGAAAGACTGCTCTCATTCTCGCCCTGTGCCGCGTTCTTAAGTCGACTCTAAAACAGGCTCTGAGACCAGTGCAGCCTGGCAGGCAGGCAGCAGTCACCACGGCATCTCCACCCTCCTGCTCCCCTGCGTCCCAACTGTTCCCTTGCACGAAGACTGCCCTCATGCTCGCCCTCATGCTCGCCCTCATGCTCGCCCTCATGCTCGCCCTCTGTCGCACGCTCAGAGACCAGTGCAGGCAGGCAGCTGTCACCAACGACATCTTGCACACAAGACAACAACCAGCTTCCCTCATGCGCTCTGCTGCTCCCCTGCTTCCCTCTGCATGCACTCCACTCCACGTTCGCAACCCGCATTATTCTCCTGCAGGAAAACTGCCCTGATGTTGGCCCTGTGTCGCACACTCAGAGAGCAGTACAGCCTGGCAGCGGTGACCAACGACATCTTCACGCAGGAGGACGGCGAGTTCCTGATCAAGCACGCCGCCCTCTCGCCGCCCGGCCGCATCCGGGCGGTGGAGACGGGCGGCTGTCCGCACGCCGCCATCCGGGAGGATATCAGCATCAACCTGGGGCCACTGGAGGAGCTTTCCTCTGAGTTTAAGGCGGATATGCTGCTGTGCGAGTCAGGCGGGGGTGAGTGGGTGGCACTGTGGGTGGCATGAAGGGTCTTTTCTCATGTTTGCATGTGACTGGCTGTCCTCACGCCACCACTGGAGGAGCTTTCCACTGAGTTCAAGGCGGATATGCTGCTGTGCGAGTCAGGCGGAGGTGAGTGGGTGGCACTGTGGCATGAAGGGGTCTCATCATGTCTCCATGCCGCCATGCGCTGACGGTATGAGCGTCAGCACGGTTCATATCCCACATGCTGTTGTGCGAATCAGGAGGAGGTGAGTGGAATGACGGATGGAAGGTGAGAGGAAGGGCGTGGCAAGGGAGTGTTGAGAGCGGTGAAGGGAGGAGTGCTGAGTGTGTGGAGGCATGCGAATTGAGGCTTCCCGTATTCTCCTTTGCTCACATCCCCCTCTGCACCTCCGTCAGCCAAGAGCTAGCAGACCACATCATCTACATCATTCATGTGTCGGGGGTTGGTGATGAGACCCCATCATTCATGTGTCGGGGGTTGGTGATGAGACCCCATTTGTTTCCTCATCTATCTCCCCATCTGGTTCCATTCTCTGTCTCCCGTCCAGTTCCCCCCCAGACAACCTAGCGGCCAACGTGAGCCGGGAGCTATCAGACTACCTCATTGACGTGTGACATGCATGGGGGTAAGACAGATACCCCTCCCTTCCCGCCCCAATTTTCTCCCCTGTTCACCTCCCTCGCAGACAACCTAGCGGCCAACTTCAGCCGAGAGCTAGCAGACTACATCATCTACATCATTGACGTGTCGGGCGGGGATAAGATCCCCAGGAAGGGCGGCCCTGGCATCACACAGGCAGACCTGCTGGTGAGAGGAATGGGGTGTGAGAAAATCACGTTTCTCAAGTAAGGTGTTTCTTTCAAACCGTTTCCCAGCCGTACCTTCCTTAAAACGTTCACTGCAGCCATGGTGACCTCATAAGGACGGAAAGGAGAGATATTATGCTGGCAGTGGCAGACCTGTTGGAAAGAGGAAAGGGGTTGGTTGGATGGAGGAGGATGGATGTGAGTACAAGTGTTCTTGCAGGGAAAATGTTGAGGGAACGGAGTGTGCTCTGGGGTGACGTTTGAGGCGCTTCAAAGGTGGGGGGGGGGGGGGGACGATGGGTGTGAGTGCACATGGGGAGGAAAATCTCGAGGAAGAGTGGCCCTGGGGTCTCCCAGGCGGACCTGTTGCTGCGAGGTGTACAAGCAATGAGGCTCTGGGGATGGCCTGGTTGATTCCGTGGGGATATGGAGGTGTGAGCAGGGGTGGTGTGTGTTGAGAGAAGGCGGGTGTGGAGGTATTGTAATGGGAGAGAGAAATGACATTGAACCCCACCCCTCCTCTCCCCTCTCTCTCCCCCATTCTCCCCACTTCTCTTGCCTCCTTACTTCTGTGCTCTCTTCTTCGTGCTTTCCGCCATGCTGACGTGGCATCATCAGGTGGTGAACAAGACTGACCTGGCGCCTGCGATCGGTGCTGACTTGGCGGTTATGGAAACGGACGCGCTGCGCATGCGGGATGGGGGGCCCTTGGTGTTTGCACAGGTGAGGGGAATTGATGGAGGGAGGTGTGCGTGCGTGTGGAACGTGTAAAAGGACCCTCTTTACAAGGAGGATAGCTGCACGTGTAGCCTGGTGGTCTTGCAAGCGGGTGCGCTGCGCATCAAAGATGGCGGGCCTCTGGTGTTGGCACGGGTGGGTGGGGGACAGGAGGGGAATGCATGGAGGTGTGCATGTGTGTGGAAAGGGGGTTGTGTGAGCCTTGCAGTTATGGAAAGAGGTGCGCTGCGCATCAAAGATGGCGGGCCTCTGGTGTTGGCACGGGTGGGTGATTAGGGGATAGTTTGCAGAAGGTAGGTGGATGAAGGGTGTGTGTGTGTGATGCCAATGCTCTCAAAGAAAGTCAGTGCTTAGGGGCTGGGAAAACCTTCATGTTTTCACGGTCGAGTGGGTGAGGGAGAGGTGGATGGAGGGGAGTATCTGATTCCGCCCCTCTCACCTGTGGCGGGAGAGTCTGTTTTCTCCTCTCTAAAGCTTGTGTCTGTCGCTCTGCACTTCGCTTTTAAGGCGCCTTCAAAAGTGTGTTGTAGTGAAGCATGGGGTGGGGGTGGTGCCACTATTCCGGGCATAGAAAACGAGGACCATGTGCCGGCAGCATGGAGTGCTGCTCCTGTTGTGCTCATACCAACATGTTATCCTCACTATGCATGCAGGTGAAACATGGGGTGGGGGTGCCAGCCATTGTGGATCATGTGCTCACAGCATGGAGTGCCGCCACAGGCCAGCCCAGGAGGTGACGGGCAGCGTGCTCCCTGTTACCCTCGCTGTTCATGCCACTGTTACAGTCGGTCATAGTTACACACATGGTAACGGTTAGCACGGTTAGCCACGGTTAGTAACGGTTGGTAACGGTGCCACTGTGCCAGCCATTGTGGATCATGTGCTCACAGCATGGAGTGCCGCCACAGGCCAGCCCAGGAGGTGACGGGCAGCGTAATCCCTGTTACCCTCGCTGTTCATGTCACTGTTACAGTCGGTCATAGTTACACACATGGTAATGGTTAGCACGGTTAGCCATGGTTAGTAATGGTTGGTAACGGTGCCACTGTGCCAGCTGTAGTGGATCATGTACTCACAGCATGGAGTGCTGCCACAGGCCAGCCCAGGAGGTGAATGGGGCTCTGCCCCTGTCACACTTGCTGTTAAAGTCCCTGTCGCAATAACTGTTACAGATGATGGTCATGTTCAAAATCAAGGCCACGGGCAATGCCATTGGCTGGCAGTTCTGCGCTTGTTACCACTATGCACTTTTCGCTGGATGCTCTGTATTATGTAGAGATGTCAAAACGTATATGTAGTTCTTGAACTTAAAGCCGGCAGCCCAAATTGCACAACTTTTAAAAGCTTGACGCGAGGGGGTTTTTCTGGTCTGGGGTTTGGCGAACGTTATCGATTTCGGTTATTTCGCCCTGGGGGTTGGTTCAGTCCCCGAAAGTCCCAAATTGCAGGCGCGCTTTTTTTAAAACCTTGCAAACACTAGTTCGTCAAGTTTTAAATGCTTGACCCGCAAGGCCCGCAATTTGGCCCGCGGGCTTTAAAAATAATCATGCTGTACTCGGGCTTTAAGGTACTGTGATCTCTCTGAACTTGTTTTTGGCAAGTTTCACGTGACTTTCCTCTCAAGGCAACCCCTTCGACAAGCCCTTACTTTTCTGGTATTCTCTAGGTCACAGCTGAGCTTCGTAACTATGGGATACCATACCACATTTTCCAAGCCTCTCGCCAACGTCCGAACCTACCGTTGTTCCCACTTTTCTCACTCCCGTGCCGCATTTCATGTTTCCGGTAGCGGCGGACCCCTGAGCATTGTGAGTGATTCAGTGCCCCGACATTCACTAGGTTTGTCAATCCATACCACAATCCCCGCGCGAATCTCGACAGCTTCCGAACCTAGCCAGTTTCCCGCCTTTCACAATCGCCCGGGCCGCACTCGTACTCCCGATTGCAACGGACCCTTACGCATTGCGTGCTCCAGTAGGGTCTCTCCACGCTGTTACAAAAAGCACATCTGTAGCGTTCTGAGTCGTCCCTGCTCAAACGGACTGCGCCTCGACACTTTAGGCCTCGCCATGGGCACCGAAGACCAACCGAGCCCTTGCGAACATGCCACCCTCAAGCAACCCAAACCACAGGCGACGAATTCGCGAAGCTGCCTCGCACCACTGACTCCCTCCCACCCCCTCCGTGCCTCTCGCCGCATTCCGTCCCTGCTTCAGCCTCACACCCCATTCTCGCCTCCAGTCATACCCCTCAGTTCAGCAATCGAAGAAAGTATAAAGAGCTTAGGGAGATTCTTTCCCATTCATTGATCAGTTCTGTGAATCATCAATCTGCCTTTCAGTTCCTACAGTCCCCTGATTTTAACAAGGCCTCAGTACCTGCAGTTTGAACCTTCTGAGAGCTCGATATCAGTCTCTTAGCTCTAAGCTACTTAGCCAGTCCGTCGTCCCTACAACGACAATCAACAGCATGGCCGGCATCGTTGCTGCGAGTCCCTGCGTGGACATTGATGTTCTGTTCTCGAGCTGCTGGGAGCAGGATGCCTCCCTTGCACGCTATGTTTGCAGCTTGGTCTCTCTTCCGTCCCTGGTAAGAACAAACTCTCACCTTCCCGTTTCCCCTTTGTTCATATCTTGCAAGTTAACTTCTTACTTTACCAAGTCAGAGTCACTTATAGCAGATGCTAACGCGGCTTTCTCTTGCAACTTGGCAGATCGACTTCCAGTGGACCAGGTCAAGCGATGATCAAGTAGCAACCAAGGCTGCTCCGCTCATGGTCGAGGCTCCTGCTGCCAAGCTGGAGGCTGATGCTGTCATTGTTGGGGCGTCTGACGTCAATGTCGAGGCTCCTGCTGATGACATCAATGTCGAGGCCTCTGCTGCGAAGCTTGAGGCTCCAGCTGCCTTTAACGGATGTATTGATGGCTCGGAGGAGGAAGCGTTCCTCTTGGGTGTGGAGTCAGAGGAGGTAGCTCCTTCATTCCTGGTCGCAGAAAGTGTGAAGGTGGGAGCAGAGGAGAGCAGCGGCTGCTGCAGCATGTTCCGCAGTGAGAGCAGCTGCAGCAGCCACAGTGTGTGTCTTATTGACCTCTCCTCGGATAGCTCCATCTCCACCCCCTCCTCCTCCTCCTCTGCGCACGGTGACTTTTCCTCCTCTGCAGTCAGCAGCGGCACTAACTTCTTGGGTGTGAAGATGGGGATCGGGCGAGGTTTTTGCAGCAGTGGGAAGGGATGGAACATGGAGGCGACGCATGTTGGGCAGCCGGTGGGGAAAGGTGTGTTTTCAAATCAGCTGTTCGGGGCCGATGAGGAGGATGAGAGTTGCAGCGACTTCATGTTTGATGGGAAGGGGAGTGTGAATAAGGGGATCGGACAAGGCTTGCGCAGCAGCGGCACTAACTTCTTGGGTGTGAAGATGGGGATCGGGCGAGGTTTTTGCAGCAGTGGGAAGGGATGGAACATGGAGGCGACGCATGTTGGGCAGCCGGTGGGGAAAGGTGTGTTTTCAAATCAGCTGTTCGGGGCCGATGAGGAGGATGAGAGTTACAGCGACTTCATGTTTGATGGGAAGGGGAGTGTGAATAAGGGGATCGGACAAGGCTTGCGCAGCAGTGGGATGGGATGGACCATGGAGGCGAAGGATGCTGGGAAGTCGTTGAAGAAAAACGTGTTGTCAAACCAGCTGTTTGGGGATGACGATGAGGAGGATGAGAGTTACAGCGGCCAGGGCTTTGGATTGGGTGGGAAGGGGAGTGTGTGCTACATGAACCAACTCTGCATGGATGATGAGGAGGAGGAGGAGAGGAGTTGCTTGGCAGCAACAGGGATTTCAGTTGGCATCGGCAGGTTTGGTGCCCGTCGCAGAATATCCGGCTCTAGCAGCCGAGTCACCCTCAGGAGAATGAGTGCTACACTCAGGCACTTTTAGGATAGATTAGAATGAATAAATGCCTTGTGTAAAGGCGTTAGGAACTGTGGCCAGAACCAGAAGCACTGGACTGCCACTGATGTTGTGTACAATAGGGCATGTTTACCACCCAAAAGTATTGCAATGTGTTTGTTTCATTCGGTTCTGGTACATCTGAAGTCACTTGACTAGACACTAGGAAGTGATTATGCAACAAGAGTAGTGAATGTTGTACCAAGCAGCAATCCATTTAACCTAATATACAATGAGCAGGTACAATTTACAAGGACACAAATCAGCACTCAAGAGGAAATAAACTTTGAACTTCAGCCTACCAGCATAAGAGAGGGCTCCTCTTTTGCTGCCTTCTCTTCCCTCTCTTGCCTTCTCTCCTCCCCACCAGCCTTGAGCTTCTTTTCTAAATGCCCTGCCACATGATCCACCACTCCCAACCCCTCCTGCTCACCTGCACACCCCTTCCCACCAATTCCAACCGCATCTCCATTCTCAGCCCCATGCTTCCGCTCTCCATCCCGTGCTGCAACCTCCACTCCCACAACTCCTCTTCCTCCCTCCAACCCCTCCTCCGCCCCCTCTGCCCTTCTCCCCTCCCCTTCCCTCCACACCGCCTCCACCTCATCGGTTCTAAACCGCTGAGTGCAAGTAGACTCTGCTACAGGAACAGTCATGCTGAGCCCGCCATGTTGAAAGGCCAGCAGCCCAGTGTAAGCGATCATGGCGCCGTTGTCAATGCAGTACCGGTCGTCTGTGGCAAAGAGCCGTCCCCCTCGCTCTAAGCACATCTGCTGCATCATCTCCTGCAGGCGAATGTTGCAGCCCACGCCCCCCACTATAAGCACGTCTCGCTTGTTGCAGTGTGCCATGGCCCGCTCGGTTGTCTCCACCAGCATTGCAAAGATAGTTTCCTGTGCACCACACAAGGAAGGGAGCAAGCAAGGAAGCAAGCAATCAACCAGCGCAAAAGACAGTCCGATCGCACAACGGCCCTCACAGTCAGACTGATTCATTTCGTACCCAGCATCTGTAAGAAAGCCCCAAGAAGGCTCATAATATGCCCATTCAGAGCTCATAAAAAACGATAATATAAACCCATAAAGAAGCCTACATGAGGAGCAGGGCAGACCTGCAGGGAGAAGCAGAGGTCAGCTGCGGTGTAGCCATCCTCCCCCACGGCATCCGGTGCAGCAACGCGCTGTGCCAGGCCCTCAACTGCCGTGAGGAGGCCCGAGAATGACACGTCCATGCCCTTCACCACGTACGGCAGCTCCACGTAGCGCTGCCCTTGCTTCGCCAGCTGCAGAGCGCGGAGGAGTGGAGGGGACAGGATGAGTGGAGGGGCCAGGATGGGTGGAGAGACCAGGATGGGTGGAGAGACCAGGATGGGTGGAGAGACCAGGATGGGTGGAGAGACCATGGGAGATAAGGCGTGATAGAGAGGGGGGAGGAGGGAGGGGTGATGTGAGAGTGGTGTTTAGGAGAGGGTGAGCACTGGCAGCACAAGGGGAGCAGAAAGAGAGTGAGTGAATGTGAGGGCTACATACAGTGCACAGCGGCCATACACGCCTGTGGGCTGCACACAGTCTGGTGTTCTTCCCTTCAGCCAATCTTCCCACGTCCTCACATTCCCTGCTCCGAAAATTTCTACCCCCTCAGGTTTTCTGCTCCCAATTTTTCCACCTCCTCAGATCCCTCCCCCCCCTTGCAGAGCATTTGTAGCCCTGGGTTGGTGCGAGCGACTGCTTTGGACCCACACAAAGCAGTGCTCTCGATCGTCATACAAACCATGCCTACCCGCACCTACTGGAACCTACTGGAACCTACTAACACCCATCATGCGGCCGCATCACCTGCTCGGTGTTATAGCCCGGGCAGTTGGAGATGTGCAGCACGCGGGCGAAGCGGTCCATTTGCATCTGACCGCACCCGCATCGCACCTACCTGCACCCATGCACACCCATGCATGCGCTGGCATGACCCACCTGCTCGATGTTGTAGCCGGGGCTGGGTTGTTGGAAATGTCCAGCATGCGGTGACTCTTTACTCGCATGTACATCCATTTACTCGCATGTACGTCCATTTACTCGCATGTACGTCCATTTACTCGCATGTACGTCCATTTATGTACATCCATTTACTCGCATGTACGTCCATTTACTCGCATGTACGTCCATTTACTCGCATGTACGTCCATTTACTCGCATGTACGTCCATTTACTCGCATGTACGTCCATTTACTCGCATGTACGTCCATTTACCCGCACACACCTCCATTTACCCGCACACACCTCCATTTACCCGCACGTACCCACACCTACCAGAAACTATCCACACCCATCCTCACCTGCTCGATGTTGTAGCCGGGGCTGGGGTCATTGGAGATGTTGAGCACGCGGGCGAAGCGGTCCAGGCAGTTGCCCACGGCGATGTCAATGGTCTCCCCGAATATGCGGTAGCGCCCCTCTGAGTATGCTATCACCTGGGTGGGGGGACCAGGAGAGGGGAGGAGGAGACGGAGGGGGAGGGGGGGGGGAGGGTGAGGCGCCTCAAATGTCAATGGTCTCCCCAAGCATGTGGTAGAACCCCTCTGAATATGCTATCACCTGGGTGGAGGCAGGGGGAAAGCTACGTTGGCAGATACGCTTTGGGAAGGCTGGCGTACCACGTATATACGTGGTACGCTAATACGCTCTGGATTTGCGAAAATACGCCCGGGCAGCCTGCGGAAAAAAAAATCCGAAATTGAGAAAATTCGCGACGACTTTGCGGCTTCGCGAATTGTTACCGCGAACTCGCTCAAGCACCCAACCCACGTCCGAACTTCGAATTTCAAAATCCAAACTTTCCCACCCACTCAACCACACACCACCCTACCCAACCTCTCAAACCCAACCACCCCTTTCAAATGTTCGTCACTTCGTGAGCATTTTTAGGTCGACGACTTCCACACTGCTCTTCAATTTACTTCCCGCAAGTCTCGTCTAGCATTCTTCCCCGTTAGTTAGACGTTCCGTAGTCGCGCGCCATGGCGTCAAGCTTAGCTCCTAGTAGTTCGACGAGCAATGCAGCCTCTGTTTACAGCTCTACTGCCCGGGAAAAAAGTTTTACCTGCCCGCCCAGCGTATTTTAGCGTATCAGCAGTACGCCAGCCATTGCGTACCGCGTATATACCCAGCGTATAATACGCTAGCGTATTATACGTGATACGCGTATTTGCCAACGTAGGGGGAAAGGGGAGGGGGATGCAGGTTGTGGTTATGCTACTGCCCCGCGCACTATCACGGGGTGCTATCATGGATGAGAAGGGCGCAGGCAGTCCACGCAGTCCACGCAGTTGCCCACCGCGATGTCGATGGTCTCCCCGATTATTCAGTAGCACCCCTCTGAATATGATATCACCTGGATGAGGGAGGGGCGGGAAATGGGGGGGAAGGGGGAAGCAAGGTGGGTCCTGAGGCGCGTCTTACGTCAATGGTTTCCCCAGATAGGCAGTACCGCCCTTCCGAGTATGCTATCACCAGGAGGGGCCAAGGGGGGGGGAGGAGGGGGAAGGGTGTGGTGCGGTACCGTCCCGTAACCACAGGAGACGGGAGGGGGCCAAGCAGGACATGCAGCTGCTGATTAGAGCATAAGGTGAGGAGCACACCTTAGGGTCACAGGCATTGAATAGCCGAGGAACGCATTTTAGGGGCCGATGGGAATGCACACAGCACAGCACAGCACCGCACAGCACAGCACAGCACAGCACAGCACAGCACAGCACGCACCTGAGTGTTGCCTCCGCTGCCAATACAGCACCACGGGGTCATGAGCGCCAGTCACGCAGCGCCCCATCTCAATGTGCGCCACACACACAGTGATTCACCAGCACTATGCGCTTGCACCACACACCACCGCACAGCACTGCACCACACACCACCGCACAGCACGCACCTGCGTGTTGCCTCCGCTGACGTAGAGCACCACGGGGTCATGGGCGCCAGTCACACAGCGCCCCATCTCTATGTGCGCCACACAGTGATTCACCGGCACTATGGGCTTGCTCCACAGCTGCTCACGATGGTAGGAGGGGAGGGCGGGAAGGAGGGCAGAGAGGGGCGAAGGGGTGGGGTGGACTGTTGGCTTGCACCACAGCTGCTCACTCACGGTGGTAAGGGGGGGATGGGGGACAGGGAATTGGGGGATGGGGGATGAGGGGGGGGGGGATGGGGGATGGGGGGGGGGGGGAGGGATTGGGGGACGGGTGAGGAGGGGGGGGTAATGGGGGATGAGGGATGGGGGATTGGGAGGGGGGGGGAGGATGGGGGATGGGGGATGGGGGATGGGGGATAAGGGGGGGAGGGTGGGGGATGTGGGATGGCGGGGGGGGGGGGAGAGAGGGGGGTTGATTGGCCTTGGGAATTGCATCGATGAGGGCCACACAGTACTTCACCGGGACTATGGGTGGGCTTGCACCACAGTTGCTAGCGGTCACCTCACCTAGCCCCACTTCACCTGCCCTCACTCCACTTCACCTGCCCTCACTCCACTCCACCTGCCCTCACTCCACTCCACTTCTTCACCTACCCCCATCCCACCTCACCTACCTCCACCGCACGTCACCTGGGCGAGCGTGCGGATGACGATGGCAACGGCCTGCAGAGGGGCGCCCATGCCCGGCCCCTTGGTGTAGCACAGGCAGTCTATGTCCCCCGGGGTTATGCCCGCCTGCTCATGCTCACATGCACACATGCACACATGCTCACATGCACACGGACACACATGCTCACATGCACACGGACACACATGCACACATGCTCACATGCACACGGACACACATGCTCACATGCACACGGACACACATGCACACGGACACACATGCACACATGCTCACATGCACACGGACACACATGCTCACATGCACACGGACACACATGCACACGGACACACATGCTCACATGCACACGGACACACATGCTCACATGCACACGGACACACATGCTCACATGCACACGGACACACATGCTCACATGCACACATGCACACATGCACACATGCACACATGCACACATGCACACATGCACACGGACACACATGCACACATGCACACAGACACACATGCACACATGCACACAGACACACATGCACACATGCACACAGACACACATGCACACAGACATACACACGCACACGCACGCACACACCCACACTCACAGAGCAGAGCAGAGCCAGAAGCATAGCGGTGGGTAAAGGGCGAGCGAGATGGGCCAGGATAAGCAGCACAGGCAGCCACTCTGTCGTGCGGGGACGGGGAGAGATCAAGCGACGAGCGCACACGCTGCAAAAGAGTCAGGTTGCGTGCACGAGGGAGGGCAGGTACATGACCGAGTGCAACGAGGGAGGGCAGGTACATGACCGAGTGCAACGAGGTGAGTGTGAGGGTGTGGAGGGCGGGGTATGCGTTGAGGGGAGGGGTTAAATAGTGCATATGTGCAATGCAGGTACTCCATCGACGGCGTATGGGGGGGGAGAGAGGGCAGGTTCATTCGTGCAGTGCAGGTACTGGATCGACGGACGCCAGCAATCCCGCACGCACCTCGTCGCACCAGCCCCGCCGCACGCACCTCGCGCAGCGCGCGCTCCACGAGCGGCAGAATTTTCTGCTGGTGGTGCGCCGCCGTCTCGCGCGGGAGGAAGCCGTGGCCGGGCGGCGTGATGTACGTGCAGCGCGGGTTGCTCAGAATGCTCCCGTCGCTGCGCACCACGCCCACGCCCAGCTTGTTCGCCGACCCCTCCACGCCCAGCGCCAACATGATGACGCGCGATTGGCGGAAAGAAAGAGGGATTCGAGACGGGGAGGACGAGGGTGGTGGTGGGTTGATAGTAGGAAGGAGGTGGTTGTTAGTTCAACACTAAAAAATACTTGGATGTCACCTCGCAACAATATATGGAGGTCTGGATATGTGAGAACTTAAAACCCGATTCTGGATTAGCGACAGTTTGCACAACGAGCTATTGGGAATTCGGGGAGGGCGAAAGCGAAAGAGAAAGGTATTTGGCTAAGGGCGCGGTCCCTCCCTCGATCGATCCTGCCCTCGATCGATCGAGGGACAGCTACAGTGTCACAATTGACAGGGTAACCTGACTTCGAGATGGGCTGCGAATGTACAGTAACTGCAGCCCAAACCTACCCCAAACCTGCGATCGGTGTGCCCGGTCGGTTTTTCACGGCGAACTCGCGAGCGATCGAGGGAGGGGACGGGCCCTAAGCGAAGCGTTCGTACTCGGCATCAACAGGCCTGCCAACGTCCTCGAAACGTATCTGCATTTGTGGGTACTTCTAAGGAATTTTCTCGATATTCCTTAGCGCACCCTGCAACACCGCTTACAGCAGCAGCCGTTGTTCGCCCGTTTCTGCTAATGGGGCTTCGCCGACCTCGCGCGCACTGTTTTCCCAAACCTCGCACTGCTGGACCGGCCGCGTCGGCCTACGCTTCGGGACTGGCCCAAGCTTCGCTTACAGCGTAGCACTAGCTAGCTTGCACGCACCGCGTTACCGTTGGCATGTTTCGCGTATAAATGTTCGCTCATGCCTTCGCTCACATTTTGTACTCGTAACACTTGGTATTCAGAGCCTCTTTCCTTTCGGACCGCGCATCTCCGCACCTCAGGAAATCAACTTTTGATTTTTCACTCAAAGGGACTCACGCACCTTAGCCCCTAGGAGCCGCTGTCCTCGTGTTCTCTCGTAAACGCATACAGCCACGACTGCGCCTAGACTAAGAAGAGCCGACGGCCTTCGGAATGGCTGAACGCATTGACGTCACTAGCCTCACGCAGGACCGCCTCGATGAGCTGATGCGACAACTGCACGAAAGCTCCGAGGAAATCGCAGCATTAACGGCGGAACGCACCTCCCTGCAAAACGACCTCGCACGAGCACAATCCACCTGGCACTCCGATTCAGCCCGCACCACAGACATCGTAACACGGAAGTGTGGGGCAACCCGCGAGCGCCGCAAGTGATGGCGTCGTCCGCCATGACGAAGACGACGACCACGACACGACACACCCCGACGCGACGAATGCGGCCCGGAATCAGCCTCGAGTCACGATCTCCGTGCAGGCCGGCGAATCAACCCTACCGTCGCCGATGCCGCTGAAGCCGCAGCGTCCGCCATGTTTTGATCCAGGTCATCGGGGTGGTCCTACCGTTCAGGCGTGGCTCTTCACGTTGAACGTTTTCTTCGACGCGAACTACGTCTCGGAGGATACGGCAAAGATTTGTTACGCCATGTCGTTGCTGCGAGGACCCGCCATGGATTGGTGGCGTGTCATCGTCACGAAGCTGGTGGACTACGCGACTCTACCGATACGGGAAGGACAAACCAGACCCTGGGCGCCGTCGTATTTCGTGGAGGTGCCCTAGTATCGCACGTGGGACGCGTGTGTCAGAATCCCAACCACTAGACCATTGGGATAAAAGGGCTTGTTTCAGTAGCGGGTCAGTGCGCCCATAACCGCCCTCTACTGACAGCGTGGTGCGCAGGTCTGCGCGCTCGTTTGAGCCAATTGCGGCTTCGATCGCGGCGCGACAGAGGCTCCGCACTTGGCGCCAACTTGGTTCCGTCCAAGACTACACGAGCGGGTTTCTGGCGCTATGTGAGCAGGTGGGATACATGCGCGAGAGCGAACGCATCGACCGCTACATCGGCGGCCTGAAGCAGGACATCGCTCAGGAAATCCAGCTTCGCGGAGTCACCGACTTTCAGGAGATTCTCGCCATGGCGGAGAAACTTGATTTCTTCCGCCGACCGAGACCGGGGTCCTACGGGAGCAGCAATTGGGGACATCGGCCTCGTGGGACAAACGAGGGCGCTACGATACGTGCCGTCGCCGCAAATGCCGCTGCCGCACCGTTCAAAGGGCGCTGCTTTGCGTGCAATCGGCCGGGACACCGCAAGAACGAATGCCCAGAAAACGCTAAGGGAAAGGGGGAAGCTGAGCAGCAGAAGCAGACCAAGCAGCAGGGAAACGCTGGGAGTCAGTAGCAGAGAGGCCCTCTACTAACCAGTCACGCCTCTCGCCCGACCCAACCGACCCTCACCGAGTGATTGTGCCGGTTCACGCAATCGACCACACCCGACCGAATAAGGAGGGTACTACGGTAGACAGCCCTATACTGCATAGTGGGAAAATCGGGACGGACTTAGTTAAAATCTTCGTAGATAGAGGGGGCAGCCACAGCCTTATCAATACTGCCACAGCACGGAAACTGCGACTGCCACTGGACAGATGTTTACCTGAGATCGACGCAAGACTGGTCGACGGCACGCCACTGGCGATAGAGGAATGTGTGGACCGAGTTCGGATTCGATGCGGGGGTAACTTCACGTTTAGCCAAGAAATGCTCGCAACGACCCACGACGGAACCGATATTTTACTCGGGCGTGATTGGTTGCGACGACACAATCCGCGAATCGACTGGACGACGGGTGAACGGTAACAACATCGCCTTACCTCGCTGGGGCTCGCCTGAGTCTTCGTCGGTGCGTGTCAACGCGATCACGATGAAACGCGCCGTAGTGGCAGGAGCTGACGTGTACGCGGCTGACATTCGGGAAGCTGAGGCAGCAGACAAAGGAGGGGATTTACAGAAACTGCTAGCCGACGTATTGTGAAACTGAAGAACAGGAATGAAATGACTAAGGAAAGATTGGGTACAAATACAACCCTAGAAAACCTGTACCCCATATGTGCTACCCCACTATAGCCTACAGCAACTATGTCATATAAATCTGACACACCCCCATAGGCAAAGTGGGGGAGAACAAGGGGTCACAAGACCAGTCAAGCAAAGCAAAGCAAGCTCAGGGTGGATCACAAAGTCACCACACAGTCCGAGCACAAGAGTAGGGCCAGAGGCCAGTTCACATGCAGGAGTACAGACATATATATAAAACTAGACAAGCAAGAGCAGGCATATATATATGTCACAGTACAAGAGAAGTCAAGAGGAGAGCAAGTGAGGCAAGACAGGCACAAGACCCAGCTGGGTGCAGAAGCGCTGATGGTCACAAGGCGCGAGTGCCTTGGTGAACACATCAGCAGTGTTGGCCTCAGAGGCCACGTACGCAAGTCGCAACTGACCACGCTGCTGCAGCTCACGAGCAAGGAAGTAGCGGAGAGCAATGTGCTTCGTTCTGTGCTCCAAGCGCTGCTCTCGACACAAGGCCAGCATGGCCTTGTTGTCTACGTACAGCACTGGAGGAGAACGAGGCGGCTCTCCAAGGTCAGTCAGCAGGTAGGTGAGCCAGCGAAGCTCCTGTGCAGCCATGGCCCCGGCGTAGATCTCAGCCTCACAACTGGAGCCGAGAACCGAAGACGAGCGAGTAGACCGCCACGAGACAGAGCCGGAACCAAGACTGAAGGTGTAACCCTGTGACGACCGCTGCGTAGCCTGGTCGTCAGCCCAAGAAGCGTCCGCGTGGCCGGTAAGGACCACTGGACTCCGCCCTCCAAGCACTAGCCCCATGCCCGACGTACTGCACAGGTAGCGCAATACCCTCTTCGCTGCAGCCATGTGCTCCGGTCTGTGTCTCCCAGGAGCAACATAGCGTGCAAGAATGCTCAGAGGGTATGCAAGGTCAGGTCGTGTGCAGGTCATCAGGTACATGAGGCAGCCAACAAGCTCTGCATACGGACCACTCGACTCTACGGACTCATCCGAAGGCAGAGCTGAGAGTGAGTGGCGAGTAGGCAGAGGAGTGGCCTGAGGCGAGGAGTACGTGAAGCCGAAGCGCTGAAGGACCTGCTGCACCATGTGTGACTGAGTCAAGGTAATGGTGCGGCGTGCTCTGTCTCGAGTGATCTGCAAGCCAAGGTAGCTGCGCAGTTCACCCAGGTCTGTGCACGTGTGTCTCTTCAGCAGCTCGGACTTCACGTAGGCGAGTCCAGCAGTGTCCGCTGTGGCAAAGACCAAGTCGTCGACGTACACGAGGATGTAGAACGGCGGCAGGGAAGTGTCGGTGCGAAGAAACAGCGACGGGTCAGCAGTAGAAGGAGCAAACCCAAGAGCCGCAAGCGTAGTCCTCAGTGTGTCGTGCCACTCACGCGGTGCCTGGCGGAGACCGTAGACTGGCCGTCGGAGGCTCCACTGGGTGCCAGGAGGGAAAGTCCCAGTGAAGCCAGGTGGACGGCGAAGCCAGATCTCCTCGTGCAGGCTACCCTGCAAGAACGCAGTGCTGAAGTCGAGAGAGTGAAGCTCGTAGTCGCGCTGAGCGGCTATGTGCAGCAGCACCCGAAGAGTAGTCATCTTCGGGGTGGGAGAGAAGGTCTGAAAGTAGTCAACTCCGTGCCGCTGACTGAAGCCACGAGCAACGTACCGTGCCTTGAAGACAGGTGGAGAGCCCGGCGGCCGCTTCACCCTGAAGATCCACATGCCACTGACGATGTTCGCCCCAGGAGGGGGAACCGCGTCAACGTAGGTGCCTGTGGACTTCCAGGAAGCCATCTCTGCATCCATAGCTGCCTGCCACTGAGAGGAGTAGGGACCCTCTACGGCCTCCGCGTAAGAACGCGGAGTCGGGATGTCTAGTGCATCCGGGTCTCCCTCAGGGGCAAGCAGAACAGACGCGAGATGAGGTGAAGCAGCCGCTAGACACTGTAACTCCTCCTGCCTGTCCTCTAGGACGTCCGTGCCAAGAGCACACTCACCCCCGACGGACGGAGGACAGACAGACGCAGACTCAGCAACAAGACTAGCAGCGTAGTCGAGACGACAGCGAGCAGCAAAGTCGATGAGCTCAGCAACTAGAGCAGACGCAGCAGTGGACTCAAAAGAGGGGTCAGTGACGACAGTAGCAAGCAGACGCGTGACAGTAGGACTGGCAGCACGAAGAGAGTCCGACTCAGGGTCGGCAAGTGCAGGAAGAGAGGACTCAGGAGGAGAAGGCAAAGGGGCACGCAGAGGAGCAGTGGACGGACGTAAAGACATCCGGTGCGTGCCAGGGACAGGAGGAGGACGCTGACGCGAACTGCGACCACTAGCGCGAGCAGCACGAACAGGCGACGCGGGACGAGACGCAGGCTCACGACGCTCAGCAAGACCTCCAGTAGGACCAGTGTAAGGAGAGGGAGCAGGCAGTGGAGAGGAAGGCTCCAGCAGGGACTGCGACTGGACAGGCGGTGGACCCTCTACTGGAGGAGAAAGACCAAGAACCTGCTGCAGGAGCGGAACGAAGTACGGCCGAGGCCGCGCGGCAGCTCCAGACTCAGCAGGGACAGCACCAGCACCCTCAGCGACAGCACCAGCGCCACCCACACCTCCAGCGGCAGGACCAACAGCAGTAGGCTCAGCACCAACGCCCTCAGCAGCCCCAGCTCCAGGAGGACCCGCAGGTCCAGCAGCTCCGGGACCGGCAGCACCCGCTCCCTCGACGGTCGAAGAAGCTCCAGCCCCAGCTCCAGCAGCACCTCCAGACTCAGCAGCACGCCTCCAGCGGCGAGCGAACCACTCGCGCAGCTCCTGTGGAGAGAGGGGCTCCCGGCGAGACGCAGCAGCAGGAGAAACCCCAGGCTCAGCAGCTCCAGACGCAGCACCGCCTGGCGCAGCAGCTCCCAGCTCAGCACCCCCAGGCCCAGCACCTCCAGGCACAGCACCCCCCGGCTCAGCACCCCCAGGCTCCGCACCCTCCGCAGTAGTACCCTCAGGCCCAGCACCCCCAGCAGTAGCACCCCCAGGCTCAGCACCCCCGCGCACAGCACCCCCAGAGTCAGCACCCCCAGGCTCAGCACCCGCAGCAGCACCAGAGTCACCTGTAACCTCGACCGGGTCAACGGCGTCTACCTGGGACACACCTGAGGGGGCAGGAACCTGAGGGGGGAGGGGGTCTACCGGGGGGGGAACCGGCACAAGGAAGTCCGGGGGAGGGGGGAGGGAAGGAGTGCGGTAGGGGAAGAGACGGTAGAAGGGGACTGACTCGTCGAACGTGACGTCCTGGGAGGACAGAACACGACGAGAGGAGGGGTGGTAAAACTGCCACCCTGGGGCGTCAGTGGGGAAGCCAAGGAAGACACAGGGAGCAGCGCGAGGGGACAGCTTGTCCGCAGACAAGTCGCGGACAAACGCCCGAGATCCCCAGACACGGAACACAGACGCATCGCCAACCTTCCCCGTCCACAGCAAGGCTGGGGACATCGCAGGCCGAGAGACCCGGGGGTGAAGGTTGAGCTGATGCGCCGCGTACCTCACCGCAAACGGCCACAGAAAATGGGGGGCAGCCGCATGCATCATGGACGTACGAGCGACATCCATGACCATGCCAATGCGGCGCTCAGCAATCCCATTTTGCTGTGGTGAGTCCGGAAGCGTGAAGGTCTGGCGGATCCCCCGTGCACGACAGTAGTCCCCGCAGAAGGCGAGAAGAGAACTCTCCGCCTCTGTCAGAGTGCAGACGCAGAACAGGAAAGTCCGAGCCGAAGCTCTTCCTGAGCTGGAGACGAGCCTCGCGGATCCAGTCGATCAGCACCTCAGTGACCGCACCTTTGCTGCGCAAGGGGAGGACTGTGGTGTAACGCGAGTAGTCGTCAACCACCAACAGGAAGTAGCGCTCGTAACCCTGCCCACGGACGGGGGCAGGGCCCCACACATCCATGTGAAGCGTCTGCAGGGGAGCCTCTGTCGGGGGGAAGTGGGAGGAGTGAGGAGTAGCCCGGAGGCGACCCTCGACACAGGGGACACAGGAAGGTCCTGGCCCGGAGGGGAGAGGAGGGAGAGACTGGGGAAGACCAGAGACAAGGACACGGGAAGCCATGCTCCGAAGACGGGGCAAGGAGGGGTGGCCAAGACGGTCGTGCCACAGGAGAGTCTCGTGAGACAGGAGGCGACAAGAACAGGGGGCAGACTCAGGACCTGACCGGGACGCAGCAGCAAGTACCTGACCCGACGCAGCCACCTGACCAGACGAAGGGACAGGAGGAGACTCAACGGTCAGGGTGTAGAGACTCGACCCCGGCCGACGCGAGAACGTGGCCAGGTGTCGGCCTGTGCGTGCCTCCGTGCAGTGGGTCACCCGCTGACTCGCAGGAGTGAACTGGTGAACACCCCCATCCTGCAGGTCTGCACCACTCACCAAGTTCGTAGAGAACGAGGGAAGGTACAGACCTGACAGGGTGCCCGAAGGGGCAGCCGGACACGGGAGGACAGTGGAGAAGTGAGACAGGACAGGACCCCCAGAGGGGTCAGCAAGGGAGACCGCAACCGGCCGACCGAGCGGCGTAAGGGTAGTGCGGTCTCGAAAGAAGGAGCGAGAAGCTCCGGAGTCAAGTGTGAAAGTGAGGGAGGACGAGGACGACTCAGTACCTGAGAGCGTAGTCTCACCAGTACCTGAGAGCGCAGACGCACTGGCACCTAGAGCAGCAGCCTCACAAGCACCCAGCGCAGCAGTACCAATGCCCGGGTCGGGCTGGAAACAGCGGTAACCCTCATTCTCCTCACTATAATCCACAACATACATAGCAGTAAGGATAGCATCAAAATCAAGATCAAAGATCGCTACACCAGCCCTGAGAAGCTCATCCCAGCGAGGGATCTCACTAGCCCCAGGGAACTGCTGACGCCAGGCGTCCGTCAGGCGGCCAAAGCAGCGCTGGGTGGCGTGGGCACCCCCACACTGCTCACCCGCGCGGTCGCCGGAACGAAGAACGTAGGTGCAGGGACCAGTACCCCCACCCCTCTGACGCCCAGCGTACCTTTCACGAAGCTGCTGAGGCGAAGGGATGTCCCGAGAGCGCTGCTGCTGCTGCCGCTGCGAGCGCTGGCCACCACCACCGCCGCTACGCTGCTGGGTACCACCCCGACCAGCTCCACCCCCTCCACCACCACTGCCTCCTCCGCCGCCGCCTCCACTGCCTCCACTTCCGCCGCCTCCACCTCCGCCGCTGCCTCCACCACCACCGGTGGCACCACCACCACCGTCTCCGCCGCTGCTGCCACCACCACCACCACCCCCGCCACTAGTCCCGCCGCCACCTCCACTCCCTCCGCCGCCACCGCCGCCACCGCCACCGCCCCCTCCAGCACCACCCGCGCCCTTGCCCCCCTTGCCCTTGCTGGAGCGACGTCTCCCACTAGGGGCAGACGCCGCGCCGACCGACTCAAGACCAAGCAGGTCGGCAGCAGCAGCAGAGGCAACAGAGGGCAGCAAGGGGGAAGGAGAGCACCCCTCAAAGATGGGGGTGCGAGGGTCACCACGAGAAGCACCTACAGCGACTATGCTCTTCTCCGCTGCAAGGAGGGCCTTCTCGAGGAGGTCGACGGTGAGGGTGGTGGGACAGACTGCGAGAAAGTGGTCCCTGACGACTCGAAGGGAGTCAGGGAGGCGCGCGACTACGTAGTAGAGAGCGATGTACATGGGGGGGGGGTTCTTAGCGCAGAACTCAGCAGGAAGGGCGGCGCGGTAGCGAGTGTCACTAGTGCGGAGGTGCGTAATGAGGTCAGCGACAGTGGGAAAGGCAGAGAGGTCAGGAAAGAGGTAGGGAAGCATGAGACGGCTCAGTGCAGCAGTGGCAGGGGAGGAGTAGCGCGCAGGTACAGCGTCGTACAAGGTCTGAGCACTCTTGTACTGACTGAAGTGCGCACGCTCAGAGGTAGGGAGGTGGCGACGCACAGCAAGACGTGCAGCAGCATCGCGGGTGGCCCACTTAGAGCGGACAGCGGGATCAGCATCAGCAGCAGGAGCAGGAGAGGCGCCAGAGGTGAGATCAAAGAGAGAAAGGTCGTCAGCCCTGTCGCACTGTAAGAACAGCTGCAGGTCGTCTAGCCAGACCTCAAAATCAACGGCGCGACCCTCAGCGTCAAAAGCTAGGACACTAGGGGTAGCCATGGCGACGACAGCAACGCAGTGCAAGCAGCAGGGAAAGAGCTCGCAGTGTCAGTGGGACTGTGCTCACCAGGCCGGGCAGGTCGTGTAGGTATGCAGAAAGGCGGCTCAGCGACTTGGCGGCTCGGGTGCTGGGCGGCTCGGCCGTTGGGCGGCTCGGGCGCAGGGCGGCTCGGCTCCCGGGCGGCTCGACGGCTGGGCGGTTCGGGTGCAGGGCGGGTCAGGCGCAGGGTCGGCTGCGGCTGGGCGGCTCGGCTGCGGCTGGGCGGCTCGGCGGCTCCTGGGCGGCTCGGCTGCTCCCGGGCGGCTCGGCGGCTCAGGGCGGCTCGGTTGCTCCGGGCGGCTCGGCTGCTGCTGGGGCCGTGTAGGTAGGGCGGCTGGGCCGCGAAGGTAGGGCGGGCGGGCGGGCCGCTAATAGGGCGGCAGGTGGGCCGCAGGTAGGGCGGCGGCTGGCCGCAAGTAGGGCGGCGAAGGGCCGCGGGTAGGGCGGCGAAGGGCCGCGGGTAGGGCGGTGGGTGGGCCGCAGATGAGGCGGCGTAGGGCCGCAGGTAGGGCGGCGGGACGGCCGCTGGTAGGGCGGTGGTCGGGCCGCAGAAAGGCGGCGGGGCCGCGAAGGGATGGCGGGGCCGCGTCGAAGTGGCGGGGCCGCGACTGGGCGGCGGGGCCGCGACGAAGTGGCGGGGCCGCGACTGGGCGGTGGGGCCGCGATCAGAACGGGCGGCGGGGCCGCGACTGGGCGGCGGGGCCGCGACTGGGTGGCGGGGCCGCGACTGAGTGGCGGGGCCGCGCGAGGGGGTGGCGGGGCCGCGTCTGAAGGGCGGCGGGGCCGCAAGGGGACAGGGCGACTCGGAGGGTCGCAAAAAAAAGGAATCGCGCGCCTCGGGGCGCGCTTCGGTGGGCCCTAGGCGAAGTTCCCACAGGGAACCTGCTCTATACCATGTGAAACTGAAGAACAGGAATGAAATGACTAAGGAAAGATTGGGTACAAATACAACCCTAGAAAACCTGTACCCCATATGTGCTACCCCACTATAGCCTACAGCAACTATGTCAAATAAATCTGACACGTATCGAGTGCTCTGGCAGCACTGTTGAAGCAGTACAGTGACATCTTCCCGGACGACTTACCGACGGGACTGCCACCTCAACGACTGCACGACCACACGATCGAGTTAGAATCGGGGGCATAGCCAACAGTACAGCGACATTTCCGGCCGACCCAACCCGAACTGGACGAACTGAGGAAGCAGCTGGATTACCTGCTCGAGAAGGAGTTCATTCGCCCTAGTTTGTCACCCTTCGCGGCACCGATACTGTTCACACCGAAAAAAGACGGGGGTTTTCGCATGTGCATAGATTACAGAGCACTGAACAGGGTCACCATCAAATTCCGTTACCCCATCCCGCGAGCTGACGAACTGATCCACCAACTGCGCACAACCCGGGTTTTCTCTAAAATCGACCTTCGAGGGGGTTACCACCAGATTCGCGTCAACCCACCCGACTGCCTTAAGACAGCCTTCCGAACACGCTACGGATCCTTCGAATACACCGTCATGCCCTTCGGACTGACCAACGCCCCCGCCACTTTTCAAATGACCATGAACGAAGCCTTCCGCCCGCTTCTAGATAAGTGCGTCATCGTATACCTGGACGACATACTGATTTACAGCCCTGACAGAGCACGACACTTACATGACATCGAAGAAGTTTGTAAGATACTGAGTGAGAACCGTCTACTAACAAAAGCGTCGAAGTGTGAGTTTTTACAGGACCGGCTGGAGTTTTTGGGACACATTATTTCAGTTGCAGGAGTGGAAATAGACCCGAAAAATATCGCGACGATTCAAGCATGGCACGCGCCGACCAACTTGACCGAGTTGCAGAGTTTTCAGGGGTTCGTCAACTACGTGCGTCGGTTCGTCCCCGACATGGCGAAGCTGACTGCCCCGTTGACCGACCTGCTGAGGAAGGGGGTTGAGTACACGTGGGAGGAGAAAGAGCAAGCTGCCTTCTCGGCCCTCAAAAATATTTTGTGCTCACCGCCCGTGCTTCACATCGCAGATCCGCATCGTCCATTCGAGCTGATCACCGATGCTAGCGACATCGCTGTGGGAGCAGAACTGTTGCAGGACTTTGGGAATGGCCCAGACCAATCGCGTACGAGTCCCGCAAGCTTCACCCGCCCGAACGCAACTACCCGATACACAACCGCGAGATGCTAGCGATCGTGCACGCGTTCAAGGTGTGGTGATGTTACCTCACGGGAGCAGACTTGACAGTACGGACAGACCACCGATCACTACAGTACCTGCGCGCCCAGCCGAATCTCAACCCACGACAGATCCGCTGGTTGGACTATCTGGAGTCCAACTTCCACTACACGGTCACGTACAAAAAAGGCGCGTCCAACATCGCCGACGCACTCACACGCCCCACCGCCCAACTCCACGCCACCCTACTCGCCCAAACCAACCCGCTGTTAACAGGCCTATTCACCCACGGTGTGAGAGTACGACGGCTTATGCCAGCTATGCTTGCTTGCCTTTACTTTATCATGCTATTTCTAGCATAGGATAATCATATGCATGCATGAATTGCTTGATTTCCTAGGCTAGGTGCTTTCCTATATTTTATTATAGTTATAGCACCGAGCTAGGTTGCGTGCACCGAATTCTGGCCTTTTCGGTTGCCACCGAATTGCCTTCTACCGAATTCGGTAAGGATCTGTTCGGGACGCTAACGCGGCCTGCGGAACCTTCGCGTAACACCTGGTTACGGGGCCTTGTGTCGAGCCTATATATAGCCTCGTGTTGTACCCAGGTGATCATTCATTTCATTCAATTCGACTCAATTCTCATTCTCTTTTCTGAGCTCGATCCTAGATCCTCACACTTGGTAATCAGAGCCCGTTTACACGCGAAGTTCTTTCGACCGCTAAAAACCAGTCTTCAAAAAACCGCGGGGGCGACGCAGTCAAACATCGATTTCGGGTACGTAAAACCAGTTCCGTGTTTTCGCTCCCCCTCGATTCGGTTTTTCGGACGCGTTGATGTCAGGCATGGAGGGCCAAGGCGACAACTACGCGACTACGAGCGACATCGCGAGCCTCCGCACCGACATGGAGCAGACGCAGGCGACGCTTCGTCGACTCGAGGCTTTTCTGACAAGCCAACCAGGGTTCGCCACCGCAGCAGCAGCGACCGCAGCGACTGCAGCACCGACAACTCCAGCAGCAGTGGCGATACCGACATTTCACGGACCAATGGCACCACTGTCGCCGAACCTCGAAGCAGCACGACCGAGGCTCCCGGAGGCGTTCGATCCAAGCGCGAAGGGTGTCAAAACATTATAGCTTATGCTTTTGTGTAGGCTGTAGTGGGGTAGCCCATATGGGGTACAACCCAATCAGGGTTAGTACTTGTACCCAACTCTTTCATAGTGCATTCATTCTCGTTCTAGTTTTCTCATGGTATCGAGCAGGTTCCCTCGTGGGAACTGTTCCTAGGGCCCACCAATTCGATTTTTTTTTCCTGCCCGTAGCGCGCTCAGTTCCTGCCCGAGTCGCGCTCCCCTCTCTCGACCCTCTCGCGCCGCCTTAGCGGCCCCGTCGCGTCGCGCTAGAGGCCCCCTCGCGTCGCCCCTCGCGGCCCCATCCCCTCGCGCCGCCCTAGCGGCTGCGTCCCGCTGCCCTAGCGGCCCCGATCCGCCGCCCTAGCGGCCGCGTCGCCTACTCCTGCGGCCTCAGTGCCGCCCTTCCCGGCCCAGCCCTTGCCTCTGCTGGCCCCGTCGCCTAGCCCTGCGGCCCCGGCGCCGCCCTTCCCGGCCCCAACGCAGCCCTTCCCGGCCCCCGATCCGCCGCTCTGCTGCCCCGTCGCCTACCCCGCGGCCCCGGCGCCGCCTTTGCTCGGCCCCGACGCCGCCCTTCCCGACCCGACCCCCGCCTCTGCTGGCCCCGTTGCCTACCTCTGCGGCCCCGACGCCGCCCGTCTCGGCCCGGCACTGCCCTTCCCGGCCCGGCCCAGCCTCTGCTGGCCCCGTCGCCCGCCCTTCCCGACCCCGGCCCCGCCTTCACGCGGCCCCGCCGAGCTACTGCGAGCCGCCAGCGCCACCCGAGCCGCCGCGCCACCTGAGCCGCCTGAGCCGCCCGAGCCGCCAGCGCCACCCGAGCCGCCCGAGCCGCCGCACCACCTGAGCCGCCCGAGCTGCCGTACCGCCGAGCCGCTCCGAGCCGCCAAGTCGCCGGGCCGCAGTTGCCGCCGAGCCGCCCGAGCCGCCTGAGCCGCCAAGTCGCTGCGCCGCCGAGCTGCAGTTCCTGCCGAGCTGCGGAGCCGCCGAGCCGCCCGAGCCGCCCTGTCCGGTAAGAGCAGCGCCTCTGTCACTGCACTGCCCTTACCCCACTGTTCGCGCTACTAGTCTACTACTGTCATGGCTACCCCGTAGTGTCCTCGCTTTTGACGCTGAGGGTTGGGCCATTGACTTTGACGTCTGGGTAGATGACCTGCAGCTTTTCCTACAGTGCGATAGGGCAGACGGTCTCTCCCTCTTTGACCTCACCTCTGGTGCCTCTCCTGCCCCTGCTGCTGATGCTGACGCCACTGTTCGCTCACAGTGGGCCACACGCGATGCTGCTGCACGTCTTGCTGTGCGTCGCCACCTGCCTACCTCTGAGCGTGCGCACTTTAGCCAGTACAGGAGTGCTCAGACCCTGTACGACGCTGTAGTTGCACGCTACTCCTCCCCTGCCACTGCTGCACTGAGCCGCCTCATGCTACCATACCTCTTCCCTGACCTTGCTGCCTTTCCACAGTCGCTGACCTCATTACGCACCTCCGCACTAGTGACACTCGCTACCGCGCTGCGCTTCCTGCTGAGTTCTGCGCCAAGAACCCCCCCCCCCCATGTACATCACTCTCTACTACATAGTCACCCGCCTCCCTGACTCCCTTCGCGTAGTCAGGGACCACTTCCCCTCTGTTTGCCCCACCACTCTCACCGTTGAC